AAGTCACTCTGGCCTCGGAAGCAGAAGAGCTACGTGGCCAAAGCACCTCCAAAACAAAAGCTTAGCTTTTCTGAGAGCTGTTGGTTGGGGCTCAGAGTGCCACGTAGCTTGGCTGTGGGTGAACTGGAGGTCCCTGCCCTACTTTGTCCCAGGGAGCGCTGGTGGTGATGTGATGGTTGTAGGAATATTCATAGTGCCTTCTGATTTGAAGTTCAAAATAATTTCCAGATGCAGAGAACAGCTTTTATGCTACTTCTTTAAATGCTTCACTCTCTTTTCCTGAAGGTGTGTCCCCTCTTCTGGCCTCTCTTGAAGCAATATTGGAGACTCTCCCATCTCCTGCACGTCTCCACTCTGGTATTGTGGCCTTCCTGGTTCAGCACAGCAGGAAAAGGAATTGATTTCATTGCTATGTTCTCTCACAACTGGGTGAGACTGAGAAAAATAAAACAGAGGCTAAGACCTACAAGTGGCTGGACAGCAGAGGTTGAACTGTGGGCAAAGCCTACGTTGCGTGTTGCAGCAACACGTAGGGCTTCTTTAGGTAACACCAAATGAGCTTCTCTGCCTGTGTGGGAACTGTGGAGAGAAAGTCACTCTGGCCTCGGAAGCAGAAGAGCTACGTGGCCAAAGCACCTCCAAAACAAAAGCTTAGCTTTTCTGAGAGCTGTTGGTTGGGGCTCAGAGTGCCATGTAGCTTGGCTGTGGGTGAACTGGAGGTCCCTGCCCTACTTTGTCCCAGGGAGCGCTGGTGGTGATGTGATGGTTGTAGGAATATTCATAGTGCCTTCTGATTTGAAGTTCAAAATAATTTCCAGATGCAGAGAACAGCTTTTATGCTACTTCTTTAAATGCTTCACTCTCTTTTCCTGAAGGTGTGTCCCCTCTTCTGGCCTCTCTTGAAGCAATATTGGAGACTCTCCCATCTCCTGCACGTCTCCACTCTGTTATTGTGGCCTTCCTGGTTCAGCACAGCAGGAAAAGGAATTGATTTCATTGCTATGTTCTCTCACAACTGGGTGAGACTGAGAAAAATAAAACAGAGGCTAAGAACCATAAACAGCATGGTGGGCTTCTACAGATCCTGTGGTCAGAGCTGATTTTTACCAGGGGAGCTCCGAAATGATCGTCTTTGCTAGTGGGCAAACATAAGCTCCTAGAAATGTGAGCCTGAAATGCTGTGCTATTGCAGGTCACTGGCAAGGGCACACTGAATTATTGTGGTACTTAGTACATAGTGCCTTCTGATTTGAAGTTCAAAATAATTTCCAGATGCAGAGAACAGCTTTTATGCTACTTCTTTAAATGCTTCACTCTCTTTTCCTGAAGGTGTGTCCCCTCTTCTGGCCTCTCTTGAAGCAATATTGGAGACTCTCCCATCTCCTGCACGTCTCCACTCTGGTATTGTGGCCTTCCCGGTTCAGATTAGATAAAGGCACAGCAGGAAAAGGAATTGATTTCATTGCTATGTTCTCTCACAACTGGCTGAGACTGAGAAAAATAAAACAGAGGCTAAGAACCATAAACAGCATGGTGGGCTTCTACAGGTCCTGTGTTCAGAGCTGATTTTTACCAGGGGAGCTCTGAGATGTTCGTCTTTGCTAGTGGGCAAACATAACCTCCTAGAAATGTGAGCCTGAAACGCTGTGCTAGTGCAGGTCCCTGGCAAGGGCAGCATCATTCAGCAGTAACACTGAATTATTGGGGTACTTAGTGATGCACAGACGTTTCTGTTGTGCCCATCGTCAGGGTGCTGGAGGCGGAACCTCTCGTTCCGCATTTGTCTGAGGCCATTTCTGATAGGAAAAATAACTTTACTATGAATGAACAAGTCAGAAAGGAAAATTTCTACTACTGCACTATGCCACTGAGGCTGGCAAAGCGGAAATAGTAATTTAGTTTTATCAGTCTCTTCCCTTTCTGCACTATCATGTTGCTCCAAAAAAGGAGAGAGAAAAAAAGTGCGGATCTTTCTAATGGGCTGCAAGCCCATTATATTATAGCAATACAGGGCTGAGGGCCAAGATCAGTTTATCTCAACAAGTTAGGTACATCAGCTAATCCATAATGGCTGTATGTGCACGTGGTCTAACCAACGACAGAAGAAAAATAATGTGGCTTACATTATCTTGCAGAGGAGGAGGAGTACGGCGAGTCCAACTACTGCATGATTATGCAAGGGCTTAAAAAACCCACTGTCCACATGCAGAGGGGCTTACTGTCTGGGCTCATCTACTGTCAGGTCTTTGCATCGTATTTTATTTTGTGGTTCTGAAGAGCTGTGTGCAATGGGATTGTAGCCCGTATCACGTTTAGCGTGATGTTCAGGAGTCAAACTTACATATGGATATAATAATAAGGCAAACTTAAACTTGAAACCCAAATTTACTACCTTGTTTTATGGGAGGTTATATAAATGCCGATAGGTGCTGAAGAAGAGTGAAAAAATGAAATGTATCCTTTAAATATAGAGTTATTCATGTTCTCAGTTACATAAATATATTAGAAATAGAGGCCCCCAAATCACTACAGTATGTTTTCAACTGTCAGGGTGATATTCTTTGCATTGCAACTGCACGCTTGGTGTTTGTGCACCATATTCCTGTACAAATGTGGGGATGTCAGGGAAACTTGTTTTTTTCACTAAAAAGTATGTATGTCTCAAGTAAGGCTAAGGATCTGCCTTCAAGTCTCTAAAGCATTAATTTCACTTGCTGGTACCTGGCCATTCATAAATGGTAAATTGCAACACCACATTCTCTTATTTTGGAAAAGCTCCCAGTATATTTGCCTTTTATGCTACTTCATTTTGCCTGCACCTGTCCTATTCATTCAAAGGTGTTTGTTTTTCCTTGTCATTTTTTTCTTAATCTAAAATAATATATGTACATACATATAGCAAATAGGGAAGCAGGTATGTAAAGTGTAGGTTATGAATAGTATAATTATGAATCACCATAAAATTAGTCATCTTTTGTAATCCTCAAAGCCTTTGATTTCTTGAAGGTACTGTGAAAAGGTGCATATGCCATTATCATTACATGCTGGTTTTCTGCATTTCATAAATTAGTAAAAGAAGAGAGATTGCTTTGGAGCCAGGAATATTTCTTTGTATACAATTCTGTGTAAAGAGAGTAAGCATATGAATGAAACAGGTGAAGCAAATAAGCCACTGCATCCATGGGAGAAAATGGGGGAAATCTATTCTGAGTCATAGTTGAATCAGTTGAAATAAAATCGAGCTGCAGTTACTCTCCCAGGACAACTGGGGGATTGCTCTGCAACTTGCACAAGAAACAAAAGAAGGTGAGGATGTGTTGGATGAGGTGGGGCCCCTGTTGACACCTCATAGGCATGGAAAAGTAAGACCAGCCAACAGAGGAATGTTAAAACAATGCACAGGGAAGAAAGAGGAATGTTTAGAACGTGTTAAGCATCAATGTTAAGCAACTGGGCAAATAAAAAAATCCCAAACTTTCCAGAGTTATTCTGCAAATCTCAGCAGGGAATGGTCCTTTTATTGTTTAAAAAAAAAAAAAAAAGAAAAAAGTCATAGCCAAAGAGGTAACAGTGTAGTGCCAAAACGTTGAGGGATTTCCCCAAAGGTGTTCAGCAGCTGCTCAACTGTGTAACTGGAATATGCAAGCACTATTGGAAGATAAAGTCAGGTATTTAAAAAGAGAATAAAACATAGTGTAAGAACTCCCAAGTTCTTTGCTTGGGAGTCTTCTGGGTACACTTACTGCAGGGAGTGGTGCCAGGGTAGTAGGAGAAAGAGGGAGCAGACACAAAAGCTCTGCAGGAGAGGTGAAGCTGGTTCTGGAAAGATTGATGTGAATGGCCAAGAGGTGCAAGCTGAAATGTTTCATTGTGTTTCATCTGATCATATAAAAACTTTAAGAAGTTTTTTAACTTTTAAGAAGGATGTGCCAATATCAATGACAGGAAATTTCACATAAAATTGCCATTTCTTATGCACAAGTCCCTAATATCATACTTCTCTCTTTTTCTCCTCAATTTATTAAATACCCTTATTCAGGAGTACAATTGATTTTGTAAGAGGAAAAAAAATAATCAAGAAGCCCTTAAGTTAAACTTTTAATAGACATTAAGACTCTGTTAAAATTTAAATGACCCATTAGAGTGAACATATTAATAATTAAAAGACAATGAAAACGTGCTAATGTCACAATAATCTGGAAAATCTACAGCCTTGGTCCTGAGTAAGAATGTGTGTAGGAAGTGCCCTTAGCCCTAGGCACACACAGGCACAGGAGTTTACCATCAAATCCCTGCAGAAAAATCAGAGTCTTGGCCCTTAGTGGGAAGAAGATGCTGTCCCTGTGTCACAAATGCCTTTTGCTCCTCTCTGCCTCCGATCAGGAAAGTCCTTGTAGTCAATCAGTCTGTTCTTGTCCTAATGATTCAGAGCTACTACATTGTGGTGTGGAAAATCTCTCCGGTAGGGGGAAAAAAAAGCAAGTTTCCTCCTTTGTTATTGTTTGTGAAGGCTGAGAATGAATGAGGTTTGGAGAAAGGAGACGCAGGGCTGGCCTTGGCTTTCATAGCCAGAAAAGCCTCGTACCTCTTCCGAGTGATGCTGCAAGGCTTTCTGTTTTGAAAGCCTAAAAGGAAAAATGGTGTTTAATCCTCATGGAGGTGAGGGAGGAGACAAAGAAAGAAAACTTGAGCTTTTTTCCCCCCTTCCCTCCTCCTTGTCTCCGTCTGAATCTCTCGGAAAAGGAGAGAACTCAATTTGGTGAAATAGCTCATTAGGAATATCAATTATCCATCAAAGGGATGTCCCGGACTTACTGAGCTGACAGGAGGCTTGTCAGTGCCACAAGCAAGCCTTCAGAAGTTACATCTAAGGAGGGAAGATGTTGTTAGAAATCTTCCCCTGTATGACACACTGTCTCTATTTCTTGCTAAAACAACTCTTAATTAGTTCTTTTTCTTCTTTCTTTTTTTTTTTTTTTTTTTTTTTTTTTAATATGCAGCACCAGGGAAAAATTGGAGTTAAATTTAATGTTGGAACTGATGACATCTCTATTGAAGAGATCAACGCAATCATTAATGATGGAAAATACCATGTAGTACGTTTCACAAGAAGTGGTGGCAATGCCACCTTACAGGTGGACAACTGGCCAGTTATCGAACGTTACCCAGCAGGTAAGGGCTTGCACAAACGCTCGTGAGTGAGAGGGTGGGGGATGCGTGGAGTTTGGCTCATTTTGCTTCTCTTCTAATGCAACATCAGCTCCTTCGCAGTGTTTTAGTAGCTGAGTAGTTAAAAGAGTCCTGAGCAATATGCAGTTTATGCTGATGGCATTTCCTAAGTGAGTTTAAAGGCACAAATTCAAGTTATTACTGGAAGTGGAAAAATACAGTTATCAAGGCATAAAAATAGTGGTTTTGTTTCTTGTTTTCATTTGGTTTTATTGGATTATTGTTTTAGGGGGGAAAAAAAGGCTTTGACAAAAGCTACGCAGTAAAGTGACTCCCAAATCGATCTCCAAGTGATGGGGTAAAACATTTACTGAGGAAAAGGCTGTCTGTGTTCTTTTAATTACAAGTTGTTACTAAAGCCGTCTGAAGCTTACGAATTGAGCAGAAGTGTTCCAGCAGGCAGAAACCAAAAGGTGTATCAGCTATCAGTTGCACAACCAACCAACCAAATTAAAATGTCTTAACTTAAAATACAAACTACAGGATATTATCTATGCAAGTGATGCTGGTTACTTGAACAGGGCCGCTGGTGTGAATACAGTTGCCTTGAACGGGCCCATATTTAATTTTATGCAAATGCCATGCACTGAAGATGACTGTGTTACTAATTTTATTCATTTTTAAAGGCAACAGGTTTTTCAGATACGCAATCCCTTTCTTATTGAATAGGACTACTGAGCCGTTAATGGTAACTTACAATTCTGCATGTTATCTGTTAACAGTTGCTGTGTGTATTTATATTATTAAACAAAAGGCAGCAAATTCAGAGACGTCAGTGAAAGGTATTCTGGTTTGCATATTTGCTGTTATGTAAATGACAGTTCTGATTATCTGTTTAAAAGTAGAAAATTCTTCATTTTGGGGGTGGAGTGGGATGGGAGGGAATGTTTGACTAATAAGGAATGCATAAGCCTTTCCCTGTACTAATTATTAGTATTTAGGGTTTGGGGGTTTTTTTGGTGGTGGTATTTGAGCTGAGTAGTCCAGCTGCTCACCTGACTTTTTAAAAAATAAAAAAAAAAATTAAAAATCCACAGGTGAAGTATTACACTTCAGATAATTTCTTGGAAATAATTTTGAATTTAAAATAAAAATGAAAGTCTGCATTGCAAATGAAATTATGTATAGCAGCAGTTATTAAAAAACGCACCTGTGTGCTGATGCGTAATGAATGAATGAATGACAGTTCTGGCAGTTGACCTGTGTGCTGATGCGTAATGAATGAATGACAGTTCTGGCAGTTAGAAACAATTAATGGCTTTAAGGCAGACACACCTCTGAGAGGTGATAAATTCTTGAGGGAAAGTGAGATACTGAATGAAATGTGTCCTGTGATCTTTCAGGTATTCCTGTTCCTCTCGTGTCCCCCTTGTTTTCTAACTCTTGCAATGCTTGGTAAATAGTAGCTGAAATGGGATGGTGGAAGCCTTAGTTCGTGTTTGAGACTTATGTAGCAGAAAGGAAAAAATAGGCTTGGGGTGGGGTTTTTGTTTCTTTTGTTTTTTACCTAAATGATGAGCATGAAAAGATTGTTTTCTTCTCTGTTCTGTTTCTTCATGATACAAAGTGGCTACAACAAGGAGAAGCTGCAGTTGAGTTCTGCAGGTAGTGGCACACAGAATTTGTTTCTACCGAACAAACATCAATTTAGAAAATAGAGTGATTTCCTTGGGATGGGATTAGTAGAATGAAAGGAGGTTGGATGTTTCCTTTAAAAAAGGTAAACAAAAAAATTAGAGCTTCTTGAGCTTCCTTTAGCAATCTATGCACAAGTTGCATTTCAAGGCATGTTAGAGCTTCTTGAGCTTCCTTTAGCAATCTATGTACAAGTTGCATTTCCAGGCATGTTCAGTTGCTTCATCAGCCAAGGGACTCTGTACAGCTTTTTTGCTGGATCTTCCAAGACTGTTGGTCTTTAATTTTCTTTGCATTTCCTATAATAATATTTTATGGCTCCTGTATCCCATAGCATCATTTTTGAAATCTGTCCTCCCTCTTTTCACCTTCCACCTCTTCTCCCTTCCCAGCACGACAGCATCTAGCCATACTTTTCTCTTAGGTTTCGATGGTGCTCCATCAGGTTTGGCACTCTTCGTTTAAACCCTTTTTAAACAGTAGTTTCTTTCCAGACTGGTGTTGGTGTACCTTTTAGAAAAGACGCAGGGTTGTCCTGAAGACCGTGCTGCCTTTGATACTGCTCTGAAGATATTAATGGCCCCATGTTCAAAGCTACCACTGTCATTCCACTTCTAAAAGTAGTATTTCTAAAAGTAATGCCTTAAGGGTACCAGACAGCAGAGTTGGGGAAGTGCTGCTGCACCCAATTTAGATGTGTTTCTGCTGTTGCTGTTTTAGGGCCTGGCAGTGCCTGGCAGTACTGGGTAACCAGCTAACTCACTCTTTGCTTGCATTTTGGATGGACAACGTGTTGCATTTGTACGATATGGACAGAATTTGATCCTCTTCTCCTGAGTGAGGATACATTAGCTTTCATTTTGGTGCTGGAAAGAGTTTTTGGTTTTGTTTTTTTTTTTTTTTTCACTTTGTGTCTGTTTCCTAAATTGTTTCTCTCTGCATAATTTCTTAATGTGCCTGCACATAAGCACAGACTTATCTCTTCTACTCCTGTTTGTTTTGTTGTTTTGGTTTTTTTTTTTTAAATTAAGAGCAGAAACAAGATTAGCAGCTTAATTACTAAGTTTGCTATTCTTAAATATGCTGGATTTCCTTTTTTAACAAACTAAATAGTATAAAAAAAAAAAACCACAGTTGGTGGTCTAAAGCATACCAACTGATTAATTCTCCCTTCTCTACCGGGACAGATTATACTCTGAATTACTCTTCTGGTTGGAGTGTCTTGACTACAAGACATTCCTTTGTTTGTGATTGGCATCTTAAAATCTTGGGTGAAGATTTTCTGAGGGGACTTTCTGGTCAGAGGCTCAGGATTTTCCAGTTTCGTTGCCTTTGTAGCCTTGATACAGCCCCGTCTGACTGCTCTAAATGATGGCACCAAGACCCAACAACAGTCGGGGTTGCCAGGAGGATGCTGTGGGTCACAAAGCCAGCATCCTTTTCAAAAGAGCTGCAGCCCTGTTTGCCCCAGGCCTCTGTGGGTTTGGTAGGGAGTCTGAACTCAGTCCTGGGTCTCAGGAGCTGCCTGGAGTTCACTGCTCTTGCAAAAGGTTTTTTAGCTGGTGTAGCACATGTGATTCTCTAATATTGCTTTATGAGCAGTCAGAGAGGTAGGCACCTTGAAAAAGTATTATATGGCAATGCTCCATAGGGCTGCTGTGGCTGCTTTCTGTGTTTTATCCTAGAGCTGCATAAAATGCAAAAATGACCCTGGAAAATGAGTAGCATCTAGTGAGTTTCTCTTGTACATCATTCTCCATCCCCTAGACTTGAGTGTTATGTTTTCTCTGGGCCAATGCACCTTCAGTTTGTACCTCAGTAGATACGAAATGAGAGAGCTGTAAAAGGAAAAGAGGTGGGAGTCACCAGTGGTAAAAGATGGTTATCCTTGTAAGGTGGCCAGTTGTTTTTTGGTATATAGTGGGAGAAAAATGTGAAGATTTCATTGTTCTGAAATGGCTGGATGATTTTCAGAAACAGAGGTTTAGATTTAGTACATATGTTCTTGCAGATTCACATCAAAGTCCCTTTTCTTCTTTTTTTTTTAACTCTGAAGTTTCTTTTCTGACATTTCTCTGAGTGCAGTGCTAGAGCTATGAGGATGAACACTTCATTTTCTGCCCTTTGTTAAATATTTGTCCTGTTTTCCCACTTCCTTATTGTGTCAGTGGCTGGTGGGTAGCCCTATGATTGAGAATGGCATATTGTATTTTTTTGATAGCTGAGAGAGATGCCCAGATCTGTACTGGATTTGTATATTGATCTTTCTTAACTAAATTCAATGCTATGTACTTTTACTGAATTATCATCCCTCTGCACCTTCCCAAAGAATTTTAATATTTCACCTTGGCCTCTTTTTCAGATAGTGATTTCCTATTAACTTATCTGGATGCAGGCTAATTTCCAATCATATTAAACAGGAATGAGAAAACTGCTGACTGGGCAGTCAGAGTTCCTAATCAATAGACTAACCCCATTTTCCATGCAGATTCTTTCTACTCCTCATGGCTTATCTTGTCTGCTTCACGACTTAGTTTTAATTGCCCTTCCTGACCAGCTGGCGATGTTGTGACAATGGGACTGCACCATTGGGGGAACTTCAGCTTCCTTTGTGAACAGGTTGCTTTTGCAGAATCACAGAATCATGGAATGGTTTGGGTTGAATGGAAACTAAATAATGGAGTTCCAACCCCTTGCTCTGGGCAGGGACACCTCCCACCAGACCAGGTTGCTCCAAGCCCCATCCAGCCTGGCCTTGAACCCCTCCAGGGATGGGGCAGCCACAGCTTCTCTGGGCAACCAGTTCCAGTGTCTCACCACCCTCACAGGAAAGAATTTCATCCTAATATCTAGTCTAAATCTACTGTCTTCAGCTTAAAATCATTACCCCTTGTTCTATCACCCCACTCCCTGATCAAGAGTCCCTCCCCATCTCTCCTGCAGCCCCCTTTAGGCACTAGAAGGCCCCTATAAGGTCTCCCTGGAGCCTTCTCTTCTCCAGGCTGAACAACCCCACCCCTTTCAGCCTGGCCTCATAGCAGAGGTGCTCCAGCCCTCTGATCATCTTCATGGCCCTCTGTTGGACCTGTTCCAACAGGTCCACATCCTTTTTATGTTGGGGACTTCAGAGTTGGATGCGGTACTCCAGGTGGGGTCTCACGAGCAGAATAGAGGGGCAGAATCACCTCCTTTGACCTGCTGACCACACTTCCTGTGGTGCAGCCCAGGGTGCAGTTGGCTTTCTGGGCTGCAAGCACACACTGTAACTCCAGTTAGGTAATAATTCTACACTGAGATGTAGATTTGCT